CTACAGAAGGAGACTCCAGCACCCTAAAACCTGGTAACAAAAAGTCATCCCCCTTAAAATAAGATCCAGAATCTCAAAACATGATATCCAAATGTCCAGGTTTCAGTTTAAAAAAAAATCTCATCACAGCAAATATCAAGAACATTTTAACTGAAATAAAGCAATCAATAGATAACATCATCAAGATGACCCAGATTTTAACCCCCCCAACAAAAAAGTCATGGGTGACTAGAGGTACAGCTCAATGGGTAATGAATCCATTTGGCTACAAAGCACAAGGCCCTAGGTTCAAACTCCAGTAGAGAGAGTTACAGAGTAGATCTAAAATATCCCCCCCTAAGCCTCATGCATTCAAAGAGGACAATATCCATACTTGAACCCACAGATGAGTTCACAGCTGAATGTGCTGCTGGGAGGTAGGGCCTGGCTGGAGGAAGTGGCCACTGAGTGTCATCCCTCAAGGGAATGTGTATTTCTTGCTGTCACTTTCTCTCTGCTTTCTGCTGCCATGGGCTAAGGAGCTTTCCTCCATCAGGCCCTTCTACCATGCCATTTCTGTGTTGGAGCCAACTGACAAACTGAACTCTCTGCAACCATGAGCCAAAATAAACCTCTCCTTAAGCTGCAAGTATCAGGTATTTTGTCCCAGTGATGGAAAGTGACTATTAAAGAATCATACAGAAGGATAAGATATCTGGGGCCTGGGATTTAGCTCAGGGGTACCGCACCTGCCTCACGAGTACAAGGTCCTGAGTTCGATCCCCAGTACCAAAAAAAAAAAGAACAAGGAGAAGATATCTGCCACAAATTAGTATTCACCAAATACAAAGAGTTCATAAAGCACCATAAAAAAGATCTAAATCCCTGCTTTGCTTCTTCTTCACTATTTTGCTGTCTTCTGCTTCTCCTCTATGATATCCCTCTGCCAGGCCACTTGCCTTGGAGCCAGCCAACTATGAAATGAAACCTCTATAATCTGTGAGCTAAATAAACCTTATCTCCTTTAAAAAAAAAAAATCTAAAAATGCAACAGAAAAATGAACAAAGATATGAACAGGCCAAGAATGATACTTACTACTAATCAGGGAAATAAAAATTTTAACAATCATCTTTCAGGGCCAGGGATTTAAATCAGTGGTTCTGCCACTTGCCTCGAAAGTGCAAAGTCCGAAGTTCGATTCCCAGTACCAAAATAAATAAATAAATAAAAATCATCTTTCATTAGATTGGAAGAAAATGAAGTCTCACAATACCAGCTGCTATCAAGGGGTAAGTGGAAGCAGAAGTCTCATGCACGGCTGATGGGATGCAAATCAGTACAAGCATTTGGAAACAATCTGACAATACCTACTAAGGATGAAGGGGTACATATCCTATGATGAAACAATTCCATTTCTGATTATTCCCTCTTAGGGAAATGCCACATGTACACAAGGAAACATTCATTACACCATTTTGTACAACAGAAAAACTGGAAAATGCCCTTTATATTCATCTTAGAATTCTGACCTAGATCTGTACATATCAACACTGATAAATCTTAAAAAAAATATTGAGGGTTTTTAAAAAGATAACGCAGAAAGTTAGTACATCATTTTAGAAATGCTTAAGCTCATGAAACAATGTACTGTATCTTTGTATATATAATTTAAAGATAAAACCTGGACTAGAAACCTACCAGAAAATACCCACCAGAGGAGAAAGAGGGGGGAAGAAAAGAAGGGAATGCTGTAAGGCATGTAGGGCATGATGCACAGTCAACCTGTAGGGCATGATGCACAGTCCTGTCACCTAATGACAAGGATCAATTCTAAGAAACGCACTGTTAGATGTCATAGTTACATAGACACCAAATAGTACACGGATTAAATCAGCTACACCATCCCTAGGTGATGTAACTGTACAGGACCAGTGACACAAGTAGTCTATCGCTGACCAAAACTCTGCCACACACAACTGTGTTTACTGACTCTGACATGTATGAAACACTGCGAATATGTTCATTCCAGGAGTGGGTCCATGGAACTTTGTAATATTTTCTTTTGCTTTTTTTTTGCCAAAATCCAAATTTTAAGGTCCTATTTAATAAAAAATCAAGAACACATCAGGGCTCAATCTCCTTCTGCAGTCTAGCCCTCTCCCCTGAGCATTCGGCCTTCCACTCCACTGCCTTACTGGGCCTTCGAACCTGAACTCTGCAACACCCAATGTGCACAACGCTATTTCTCCTGAACCCTTCCTGCTCCTCCTTTGTCCTCTTCCTCCTCTTCCTGAAAATATTCAATGATTCCCAAGAGTTACACTAACTTTTAAAAGAAGAAAAAAAGTAGGAAAAAACTTTCTTCAAACAATTGAGGGGGCTGGGGATTTAGGCCAGGGGCATCATGCCTGCCTCCCAAGTGCAAGGTCCTGAGTTCAACTCGCGGTACCGATTAAAAAAAACTGAGCAAATTCTGCACAGCTCAAACCAACCAGACAAAGCAGAGGCAAGGGTGGACTTAAGGCCAGTCTAGTTCTAGAGCTGAGAGCCCAGAGGGAGGCCCTCAAAAGCATTCTGAACATCCTATTGTGAAAAATGCAAGTAAAACTCCTTAGGAAAGACACTCCAAGTCTGTCACCCAGCCCTGCTCCACCCTGCCAGCCATACCTGCTGGTCCACTGGGAGCTGTGACTTCCAAGATCACAGCGCTCCAGCTTCGCTCCCGCTGTCCCGGCCCCGGCGTCAGAATCAGCCTCACTCCAGCCTCAGCACATACCTACACGCACGCACCAAGATTTTTCTCGCCCCCCCCCGCCCCCCGCCGGGACTGAACCCACAGCTCATGTATGCAAGGCAAATGTTCTACCCTTGAGCTACACCTCCAGCCCAGTTTTTTTTTTTTTTGATACCACGTTAGTACTAAGTCCCAGGATTCATCTTGTGAGACCTCTATAAAGAGAAAAATAGTTCCACTCTCCAGCATCAGGACCAGCCGCAAGCCAATCATTCCAGGTAACCAAGGCCCTCCTCACTTCTGCCCAAATATCTTCTAACCTTTCCCTTTTGGGATCCTTCTATCTCTTGTAGCCATCGTAGAAACACTGACTGTTCTTTTACTTCCCACCTCTTTGACATTTTTATTGTCTTCTAGCTCCTGCCTCTACTAAAGCCCTGACAGCCCCAGTCTATGACCTCACCTGTCTTTTGACAGTGAATAAAATCCTGCTAATAACTGTCTTCAACTCTCCTCTGTTAATGATGACAGATTAAATGGTGCAGCCAACTGAATGCTGCTGACAGTTTAAATGGCAGCACATTAATGAAAAAGGCACAAGGTCAGTCTTTCTTAGTTGATGCACTTAACAAGGTTAAAATCTCATCTTCTGCTCTGAAAAGTCAGAAAGTCCAATTTGTCAACTCAGCATGGAATGATCAAGTTCTGGGTATTCACACTAATAAAATTCACAAAAGACCAATTCATTATACAAAATGTGAACTGGATGGAACTATGTTCCCTAGAAAGCTCATATGCTGACACCCTAAGTCCCAATGTGACTGGATTTGGAGACAGGACTTTTAGGTGGGTAAAGTGAAATGAGGTCCTAAGGGTACAGGGCCCTAACCCTACGGAAGTGGAGGCCTTAGAAGATGTGCCACAGAACCTCTCACCTCCCCACATGCTCACACAGGGAAATGATCCACAGGGCACCCACTGAGCAAGCCTAGAAAGAGACCTCACCAGACACCAATCATGTCAGCACTTTGAACATGGACTGTGAGTTTCCAGAAACAGTTCTGGATAAAATAAATTCTGGGGCCCAAGGATTTAGCTCAGTGGTGCCACAGCCTGCCTCACAAACACAAGGTCCCCAGTTCAATCCCTGGTACTAAAAAAAAAAAAAAATTCATTTGTTAGTCATGCCTGTTTTAAAAAATTAATAAATAAATTGTTAAGTCACCTATGCTGTGGTATTTTGTTATGGCAGCACAAGCAGACAAATACTCCAACTTATGAATTTAAAATGAGGACACAGCAGGCTAATAAACCCTATGTGACATCCAAGTGTTTGACAGAAAAAGTCAAAATCATGCTCAGCTATTCAGCAAGCAAGGAATTAGAAGAAGGCAATGTAAATGTTCTCAAGGAATCTGGATACCCTTGCTAGTCACTTCAACACTCACACTCAGCAAAAAAGGATTCAGCCTTCTCTTAAATAAATGCTATCAGGCCGCTTCCGTCCTGATCACAGGAGCCTGATGTCACAGTACAACTGAACTCCTAGCCACTGACAGCTTCCCAGACCCAAGCTTCACTCTTGATGGAGATACCTTACTTACTCTCGGGCAAACTGTCCCCAAATGATAACCCAGGATCAGATGGTTGCTAAGAATTCCACACAAAAACACCTTCCCTGATCCTGGGAGACTCCTGTGGAAAATAACATGCAGCTAGGATGAACTCATGCGAAAATGTGAAATTCTCCTTTTAAGCTTATCGCTTTCTAAAGACTAAAAATTAAACAAAAACAGAACAGTAAACACAACAAAAGCATCTCTCATTTCCACCAAATTTTGAAATTTTTAAAAATTTCAACAGAGTGAACAGAGCGGTACAGTAGATACTCAGTCCATGAAGTTGCTAACCCAACAGAACTATTCTTATTTAAAATTGGGCCTCAAAGACTCAGATAATACTTTCTCTAGGTAGTTTAGATTGAATGAAAATCCCCTCCCAGCCACCCCAAGATGAAACTCCAATAACAGTGACAAAAAAACTGTATCAAAAGGGAATCAAAGGACTAGAACACGGGGGATTTTAGGTGGCAACTACTGTACCAGCTCCTAATATATTTAGGAACTGGGTATCAAAACAAATAACCCTTCCTAGTAACCTGGACAATCTTCTGAAAGAAGATAGTGGGTCAATTAATATACCTTGAGAAAAAGAATTGGAATGCTTAGAAAGGAGAATGGTGAGAAACACAAGCCTTTAGAAAGCGGAGCATAGAGCTTTACTTACATGAGGGGATAATGAACTGTGGCTCAGTGTTGCCTGCGTAGCCAAGCTTGGTATACCTAAAAGCACAAAGTCATCAACACATGTTTAGATCACAATGCTCTCCACGAGATCCCGTTCATGTCTTTATTAATAATCTCTCCAAGTCCTAAAATACACTCCCTTGAAATTTAAAAAAAACTGTGATCAGTGAAAATCAAATACTAATTTCAAAAAAAGTAGTTTATAAAATTTTAAATGTTGGGCCGGGGACTTGGCTCAGTGGTTATGCCGCCTGCCTCGCAAGCGCAAGGACCTGAGTTCGATCCCTGGTACCAAAAAAAAAAAGTAAAATGTTTCTTTCCACTAGAACAATAGAAATACATATACACTAACATATACATTACATTTGTGTATCCCTAATGACTTTAAAAATGCTTTCATACTTTTAATCTTTACAAAATAGGAATAGTATCTAAGAAAGTAGATACTATTCCTATTCTCCAGATGAAAAAACTGAGTCACTGAGAAGTTAATTAAGCTGCCCAAGACCAAACTGCTAATGAACTACAGAAAAAGAATGGGTATCTAAATACACAGGCTAATTCCAGCATTGGCTCTATATGAAGTACACTAATTTCCCCAACTTCCTGAACTTTTTTAGGGGGGGTGATTATATAATTTTCTGAAAATGTCATGGCATATGTCTAGAAACAGTTGCTGCCATCTTCTGAGACTCATCTGACAGAAGCATCTCTTTATCATCTCATTTCAGAAGAAGCCCATTTTCTGTCAAGATGTTCTGCATGATAGATTCCAAAAGTCTCTACTAAATAAATGCCGAAATACTACTATCTGTTCCAGAAGCATTTGCTAATCTCTTAAATATGGGGGGGGACCCACTCCGACCATCTGCTAAAATGAGAAGTTGAGAGGCAGTAAGTAAACTGCAAAGACTCATCAGCTCTTCCGTTCTCATCAGAGCTGCTCTAATTAATAATGAGATTTGCACAAACACTCCACTATGCTGTAACAGTGCTTACACTGAACAAAACATTTTCCAGCAGCATCAAAGTAACTTTAACAATTGCTCCTCGGACCGGGGATTTAGCTCAGTGGTTCCGGCGCCTGCCTCACAAGCACAAAGTCCTGAGTTCGATCCCCGGTACCAAAAAAAAAAAAAAAAATTGCTCCTCTACCACAAAGTCTCTCAAGATACTTGATACTAAATTTGGTGGGGGTTTTTTGGGGGGGGGGGTTAAGGCAAGATCTATGTAGTTCAGGCTGGCCTTGAACTCAGTATGTGGCCCAGGCTGGCCCTGAACTCATGAAAATCCTCCTGCCTCAGCCTCCCGAGTCCTCAGATTATAGGTGTATACCACCATACCTGGCAATACTAAATTTTTTGATGTGGTAGTATTTCTAATTCTAATAAGTTAACTTTATGATCTGTGAATGTATTTTCCCTCTGCCATTGTATTTTTGAATATATAGTGAGTAGACAGGACTGGGAGACAAAAAGCTCAAGTGGGCTGCCCTGAACCACACCTTGGAGCTTAGCCTCCCTGAGCTCCAGCCTCTCCTACCCAGGGTCCAATGAAGGGCCAGGCTCGGAAACTCCAGTGCCCATAGGGCCAGCCAGCCCCCGAAGCTTCTCCAGTCCACTAAGAGCAGAGCCAGGGACAGAGACTATCATTCTGGAAGTATGCTCCACCCAATAAATTGGGGGGGGGGGGCCACCAGGGATCAAACTCAAGTCCTTGCACTTGCACAGCAGGTGGCGAAACCACTGAGCTAAATCCCCGGCCCAGTGTTTGAGGATTTTTGGGTATTTTTTGGTACCGGGGATCGAACTCGGGTTCTTGCGCTTACATGGTAGGCGGCCAAACCACTGAGCTAAATCCCCGGCTCCACACAATAAATATTAACTAAACCAAATTACTGATTCAAGGCTAAAGAAGCTTATAAAATTCCAACAAGCAGGCCAGAAATCACTAAAATCATCAAATGCAAATGTAATGGTGTATGTGAGGTTTTATGTTTATTATGCAGTGCTGGAGAATGAACCTAGGCCTTCACAATGAGCTACATCTCAACCCATTTTTTATTTGTTTTGTTTTGTGTTTCGGGGGTTTTTTTAACTTTTTTTATTAGTACATATTGATTACATTCATCATAGGAAATTTGTACCTGCACATAATATATCTTAGTTCTTTTTCTCCCATTCCCCTCCCCTCCCTTCAACCCTTCTCCCTCTCCTCTTCCCCAGGTTACTGTGATAGCAGACAAGAATCACCACATCTGGTAAAGAGGCCTCCTCACTCACTACCCAAAAATAATTATGCACTTGCACTGAAATCATTCAAATGAATCCATCTCCCCACAAAGCTAGAGTGTGAGTTTGGTGATATCAGGAACAGGGTCCTTCATCATTGTTATCTCTGCTCCCTTCCATAGTACCTGGTATGTGGCAAACACTTTACAGATAGATCTGCTGAAGGATCCCTTCCCTGGTGTAAGAACAGGTAATAATGGTCAAACTCCTGGGAGAAAGGGCAATGTTTGAAAGAAGGGTGCTAAAGTCAGGAAAAATATTTGATGGAACCAGAAAAGACAAGAGACTGTCCAATATGATCTCCTACTTACAGATGAGAAAAACCTTGACTACATGAAAGGGGTTTAAAAAATAAATGTTAACCTTTTTTTACAAATCAGATGCTAAGTATCATTCATGTCTGCTGTGTTTCTTGTTTGTTGTTGTTGTTGTTGTTGTTGTTGTTGTTGATTGGTTGGTTGGTTTGAGACAGGGTCTTGCTACGTAGTTCAGGCCGGCCCTGAACTAACTGTGCAGCCCAGGCTGGCCTCAAACTCATGGTGATCCTCCTGCTTCTCTATCCCAAGTGCTGGGATTACAGGAATGTGCCACCAGGCCCAGCGGGTTGCTATGTTATTTTTCCCCCCTTCTGGTACTGGGGATCAAACTCAGGACCTTGTGCTCGCAAGGCAGGCAAGGCACTACTGAGCTAAATCACTGGCCCTACTGTGTTATTTTTTTGTATTGAGTTTTTATTAAGACAATTCATTTGGCTGGGTTCAAATCCCAGCTTAGCTGTTTGCTGGTCACTTCTGGATGTCACTTTCCCCCTCTGTAAAATGGTTTAATTATACACTCTACCTCCTGGGGTTAGCATGAAAATGGAATGAGCTAGTATATATAAAAATGATAGAACAATAATGTCTATATATTTGTTATTATTTTACTACTGTTCTTCTGTATGTTTAAATATTTTCTTATTAAAATCTGAAAAAGTTTTTTTTCTAAATATTCCAGCCAGGTATGGTGGCGCACACCTGTAATCCTAGCATTCAGGATGTGAGGCATGATGCTGAGGCTCATGGCCTGCCAGGGCAACTTAGGGAGACCCTATCTGAAAATAAAAATAAATAAATAAGAAGAACTGGGAGTGTAGCTCAGCAGTAGAGTGCCCCTAGGTATGATCTCCAGTACTGCAAAAAAATAAAAGAAAAAGAAAAGAAATTCACCTATTACAAACATGACTTCACATTGAGTTTTTCTGTTGTTGCCTAGTCTACATTTTTTTGAAAGGCAAGTTTTATTTTTTTTGTAAAACATTTATTGGTACATTTTAGATATACATGATAACATTCATCATAGGGAATCTGTACCTGTACATGATATATCTTGCTTATTCCCCCCCATTCCTGCCCCTCTCTTATTTGGCAGGTAAGTTTAAAATCATCTGGGTAGGCAAGCAGAAAGAACCAGCCATACCTGCAAAAATCCCTGATTCCTAGCCCAGTGCAAGGCTCAGAAATGGAAGTGTTCAGAGAAGAAGCCTGGCATCTGTGTGTTTAATGAGCCCTGCCCTTCCCCCAGTGGTTCTGATGGTCACACTGGACATCACAGTTCTGACTTATATCACAGGCCATCACCATGGCATCTTCATACAGTGAGAGCTCCCCAACCTCATATTCACATCATGAATCGTCCACCATTCTCCACATTTACCAAATAAAACACATCTGGATGTTGACATTTCATACTTATCAGAAGCTTAGAGGAAAGGACTCAAATGTATCAGTTCTGTCTTATTATGTAAACTAATGTAGCTGGGACATGGTGGTGCACACCTGTAATCCCAGCGCTCAGGAGCCTGAGGCAGGAGGACCACTGCAAGTTTGATGCCAGCCTGGGTTACACAGGGAGCTCAAGGCCAGCCTGAACTGCTCAGTAAGACTCTGTTTCAAAGAACCAAAATAAATAAATAAATAAAAACAGAATAATGTGAATTTAGGTATTCCATAAAAGATGCTTTTCAATTCAAATTATTTATGCAATTTAGTAGGTGTAGCAAAGAAAAAGGTCTAAGATCAACTAGTAGTGAAAAGAACCTAAGTTCTAAACAGAAGCATTTAATCCTCATGATGATGGGGGGTGGGGGAGAATCTCTCAAACCAAATGCTAATGAAACTAGCAGCATCCCTACTAAAATCAGAAGTAATCCAAGGAGACCCACTAGCACTACTCTCCTTTAACACTGTTTTGGAATTTAACATTGTTTGGGTATCACAAACCACAAAGATTAAATAAAAGGAATACATATTATAGAAAATGAATCAAAATGTATTAATAAATGATCACTATATACCTAGAATATGAGGAAAATTAAAAAATTAAAAGCAATATGGAACTCAGTAACATGACTAATTACTACAGGAAGAGACAAAAATTATCATGTAGGAGGCCCACACAGTGGTGCATGCTTGTAATCCCAACACTTTCGGCGGCTAAGACAGGAGAATCAGAAGTTCAAATCCTGCCTGGGCAACACAGGAGACCCTGCCTCAAATGAAAATTTAAAAATGGCTGGGGTTATAGATCAATGTGAATCAATACGTAAAAATATATTCTGGATGAAAAGATCCCATTTAGAATGGCAATAACTATGGAACAATACTACCTTTAAGAATAAAGATATAAAGAATAAAAATAAACTATATACCCAGGCGTGATGGTGAACACTTGTAATCCCAGCACTTGGGAGGCTGAGGTAGGAGG